GTCGCCTCCTCGAAGTGGTTTGTCAACCACGCTTTCCCTCCCTCAAAACAATGCTCCTCACCAAATGCCCTTCCTTAGGTTGGGGCAACATAGCAATGAGTAGTTCGCTCCAGGACCCCACCCCCTCGAGAGCAGGATGCCGGCCGAGATGGAGCTGGGAGCCAACCTATACTTTCCTGGGGCTTGCCTTGCCCCAACATCAAAGGGCGGGCGCCGAAAAGGAACCAGCCCAGCCTCTTCAAGCCTTGCTTGGTAGGTGCTGCCTACTCACTCGGACAATGCTCTGAACACGAAAGTGTGCATTTCCGCCCCCTTCTCCCATGCTGAGTCACAGGCAGCGCCTCGGAAAGCACGGACAAGCCACATGCAGGGAAACTTGCACGTGTGATTCTGGCCGGGGACCCCGGTATAAGCAAGTTTTGAACCAAAAATTTTGAATTTTATTAAGAACATATTTATCACTCAAATAACATATATATTATGATATTAATTCTTTTATTATTTATTTAAATTGCATACGTATCACGTGTACCATCTACTAGTAATAGTTAGAGCAAAAAGGCGAAGGAAATTTTTTTTTTTTAATGCAGGCAAAGAGATCAATACTTTGAATTCGATCCAAACCGCACGACATTGGCCCGCAGCAGCTGCTGCTGAGCATCACCCATTCCCTGCGTAAAGAGTTGGACATTGAAACATGTACTGGCTTTGTTGTTTAATCTAGAATCAGTGGACGGGCTGGTGGTTTCGTATATTCTATTTGGAATAGAAATATTAAAAAGTGTTTAAAGCTATTGTTAGGTAAAAGTGAATTTATTTGAATATGATTTAATTTGGTAAATTAGTTAAAAGTCAATTTTTTAATTTTTTGATTTTTTTAAGTTATTTTATTTCTCTATTTTTTTATACATTTTTTTAAAATAGTCAAAAAATTAACTTTTAATCTACTTCCTAAGACAAGTCTATGTATAAATAAATAAAGGGAAAATTATTATTCAATGGTAATTTTTAAACATTATTATAAATTCATGAAAAAATTATAATTATAATTTATATAAAATTTATCATTTATAGCAAAACTTCTATAAAAATTTGGCCGACAGCCGTGTGCTGACAGAGTTCTCTCTTTGATAGAGCATCTCTCCTAGCTTTGTTAAACTCATTGGTACGTAAGGGTGTTCGCGATTCGGATTTGAACGATTTGTGGATCAGTTTAAATTTATTTGTATTTATGTGGTTTGGGAAAAAGTTAACCCGCAACTGCGCCGCAGTGCGATTTGCGATTTGTGGATCAGTTTAAATTTATTTGTATTTATGTGGTTTGGGAAAAAGTCAACCCGCAACTGCGCCGCAGTGCGATTTGCGGTTTGTGAGGATCGAGTTCGTGGATGTGCGGACGGTTTGCGGATTGGATTTTTTTTCTTCAAAATTTTATTTTTGAGCCTTTTTTTTTTCTTCTCATTTTGTAAATATTTATTTTGTGCCCTTTTCTCCCCATTGTCTAAAATGCTCCAATATTAATAATTATTGAATTAAAATTTACAAAATTAAAAATACAACAAAATCAATTTGAAACACAAATAAATCATTCAAAATCCTAAATCAAATCATAAACTAACACGAATACATATTTCAAAATCTTAAACTATAACTCCATATTCATTAAGGAATTTAAAATTTCAAATCACACTTCATCCGGAACAAATTCAGTTATGAAACAATAATAATATGATCAATATTTATTCAATTTCAATTGATATAATACTATTAGCAAATGTAATGTTAGAGTAAGTTCAAAGAATAAAGAGTGTTTTCTTTTTAACAAAAATATTTAGGTAGGATATAGGAATGAAATCAACGGTGAAGATTAATAATAAATAAATAAAATAAAATAAAAAAGTGTGGGCGGGTTTTTGTGGGTGCGGGTTAAACCCGCAACCCGCCCGCAATCTGCAAACATGTCATATTCTAAACCGCATCCGCTTGCATTGTGTCTGCGAAACCGCTCATTTGAATGCAGATTGGATAGGTTGGGCGGGTTTCGCGGATCGGGTAAACCGTTGCCCACCCCTATTGGTAGGGATATCCATTTATTGACAACAACAGGCAGCATAATTTTTCCATTCTAATTTTTTTATCTACTAAGAAAAAATATATAAGAAATTTAATTAACGAAATATAATATATTTTTTTATTTTTATACCACCATAAGACTAAAATTACATATTTTTGAAATAATTTAAAGGGTAAATTATAATACACCCCTTTGTTAGAATTTTTTATTTAATAGAATTAACTGAAAAAATAAAATTCCTAACTACCTTATTATACAATAATAAAATTATCTGAATTATTAATTGAAACATATTTCTAATATCATTAAAATTATTAATTAACTTGATAATTTATTAATAAAAGGAGCCATTTGTTATAGAATTAAAAATCTCAGGGGATGAAATGTAATTTTTAGAATTACAAAGAACGATTCATATTTTACACAAATCTCCAAAATGTATTTATAATTTATACTAATTTAAATGACGTTTTATATTATGATAAGACTAAAATTATTAACCTATTTTACATAAGTTGCATATGTCGCAATATATTTTTAAAAATAATTTTTATATATACATATATATATATATATATATAATTAAATTAAATTTTATAAATATATATACATTTAATTTTTTGTTTTTGGATCTATTTTGCATAGCACTTGAATCAACTGGTTGTGTGGTCTTCCCCTATCTAGGATGTTCGTCTAATTCATTCAATTTGACCGAATCGATCTAACCTGTTTGATTTTGGATAGATCCGTGTTTTTAACAAATGGATACAAATAAAATATTTTGAAATTCGCAAATACGGTTTGGATAATAAGTCAACTATCCCGCATCCGTATGAACCCGATTCGCTCATAGATGAAATTCAAAAAAAAAAAAAAAAAAATTCTAGCAAGTTACATAGAATAGAAATAATAAAATATATATTTTTATGAAAATGAAAAACAACACATTAAAAATATACATGGTGCCATGACCTATTATAGACAAATAATATATATATATTTTAAATTACTAATTATTGGAGATTACAAAAGTATGAATTATAATTCAAAAAAATACTCAAAATTTGTTAAGTTTAAACCGTCAAACTGGTCGTATTCATCCACCAATCTTCACAACCCACCTACTCTGCATCCATTAAATCGATAGAATGCAAATTAATTTTTTTTAATCCAAACAATTTTAAATGAATGAGATATTATCCGATCCAACCCGATTCACAACGAATCTTACCTCTATCAGCTCTTCCCACCGTGCTTGACCCGTATCCAAGACTTGTTGGTCTCCCTCCCAACCACCAAGTAAACCATTGTGTGGTACACATAGACCTTCATTTACTTCTCCCCACAGTGCTTGACCCGTTGTTGGTCTCCCTCCCACCAAGTAAACTGTTGTGTTTAGACCTCGATTTCCATGCTTGAAAAGACTAATTTTTCTGTGGTACATACTAGATGGACGGTTAAAATTGTGCCACAGTCATTTTATCTTTTTTTTATGATTATGACCCATACTCTCTCCTCTCAAAATAATAATTTCTTTTAAAAATTTTAATTTTTTTTTTGTAATATAATTATTATATTTTTAAAATATTAATTTTTTTAAATTATAATTTAATAATATATTTTTTTAGATATATCAATTGTAATAATTATAATTTTTGTATTGTTAATTAATTTAAAAAAGGACAAAATAGAAAATTCATATTATTCTAATCATTGATTGTTGAAAATAAATTAATATTTTGAAATAATAAAAAATAAAATAAGGAATCAATATTTTGAGACGAAAGAAATATTAAATTTGCTCATACCTAATTAGGGGTGTTTTAGAAAGTTGGTAAAAAGCTGGCTTTTGACTTTTTAATTTTTTTGATGGTTTTTTTGAAAAAAAAAAAAAGCTGATTTTTTTGGTGGATTTTTTGTGACTTTTTTTAAAAAACTTGATAAAAACTCAAAAAGCTGACTTTTTACCAAATTTCTAAATTGTCCCTTAGTTTGATTATAATTTAGTTATAAGTCACCATCACTTCTCCTCATAACTAGTTAGGACCAAAATCACATATTTTACAATTAATCACACATCTTCTAATCATATGTCATAACCCAATATTGCGTATCTCATAACTACTACCACATATCTCATAACAAATATTATATATTTTATAATTAGCCACACAACTTTGTGCATAATTAACATTATATATCTCGTAATTAACATCACATAACGAAAACCATACACAACTTTGTACATAACTAACACCATATATCTCATAAAAGTAATGTTAGATATCATGAAAAGTTTCATAAAGATTTTTCACTATTGGATCACACACACAATAAAACACCACTATTAATCAAATGATGGAAAATTTTCATAAAATTTTTATGATATTTCTTTCATGATACATAGTATTATTCATCTCATAACCAACGCCACATATTTCATAACTAACAACACATATCTCATAACTAAAATTACTTTGATTCATAACTGAATGCATGGTACACTTGAATGTATAGTCAGGTGCTCTTCCTCAATTTTTAAAAAATTATACTTTTGTGCCTAATAAAATAATATATTTCAATCTAATCATTTAAAGCTATGTCTTGAAATTTTTAAATCACTATTTTTTTATCCTTTCCTTAAAAAAAAAAAAAAACGAAAACAAAAACAAAAATGTTAGAAATTTTAAAAATTCTACCAAATATCTCACATTGGTGTGAGACTCACATGGGACTCACATTGTGTGGGTTACACGCCCATATGAGATATTTGGTAAAACTTTTGATAAAATTTTTGAATTTTTGAATTTGTCACTTTAAATGTTTAAGTATGCAGAGAAAAAATTACAAACTTTATATTAGAAAAATGTCATGTAACTGATTTTTTATTACTTTTTTATATCACCTCTTATAACATTCATAATTGATTCATTCTGTATCCTTAACTTTCAACGTTGAGTCAGCTAACACGCTTTCAGTGTACATATATCTTCCGGAACAGAGTTTTTGTAGGTGTAGTTAAGTGTCTCTCAAGCTTTGTTTTCCATATCATCACTTCTTTCTTGCTGGGAATTTGGTGCTTCAACCAAGAGACCAATATCTTTCAATTCTGCTTCTCTCCCCCAAATTCTATATTGCTTTGTCCATAAATGTAAGTTTTCATCATCATGCTGCAAATGGGTTTGAATGCAAGAGTCCTTACTGTCTTCAAAAGCATTGTTTGGTTGTCAGTGATGAGCAACTTTTTAGTACTAGTATGCAAAGGACTGGAGAGTGATATTTATTGTTTGAGATCAATCAAGGATTCCTTGGAAGACCCTTTCATGTACCTATCTTCATGGAATTTCGACAATCATACTGAAGGCTTCATTTGCAAATTTACTGGAATAGACTGCTGGCACCCTGACGAGAACAAGGTGCTAAATATCCGACTCTCTGACATGGGACTCAAGGGTCCATTTCCTCGGGGAATCGAAAACTGTACTTACTTAACAGGTCTAGATCTTTCGAGCAACAAACTTTTTGGAACCATCCCTTCTGATATATCGCGATTGATTCCCAAAATTACAGCGCTCGATCTTTCCTCCAACAATTTCAATGGTGAAATTCCACCAACCATTGCGGATCTTAGTTATCTCAATGTCCTTAAACTTGATAGCAATCAGCTCACTGGACATATCCCAGCTGAAATTGGCCGCCTGGATCGCATCAAGACTGCAAGTTTTACTAACAATCACTTGTCAGGGCCAGTGCCAAGATACATTAATTATCAGATTTCAGCTGACAGCTATGCAAATAATCCAGGACTCTGCGGGGTTCCCTTGCCACCCTGCAAGACACATAAGAAAAATATTAATTATCAAGCATTCTTCAACCGTAATGCTTTCTTCATAAGTGGCTTCGCGGTTGGTTGGTCGCTTTCTACAGTTATTGTTTTTGCTCTGGCTTTGTTTTATTTGCCTGTCATTGCACTGCTAAAAAAGATTGTGAGCATCCGCAGCAGCAGGAGGAGGAAGAGGACGAAGAAAAGAAACAACCAAGTGCTTGTTCAAAGAACTCAATCGCCAACTACCAAGATTACAAGCGAGGTTAGCAAGGTAGAAAACACTCTCTCTCTCTCTCTCTCAATCAACCACCAGGGGTCGTCACATGCCCGATAGCCTGCCTAACTAGATATTTTTAGGACTTTGGATAAATATTTTAGCCTATAGGATTGAGTTAGGCTAAGGTTTTAAACCTGTTCATTATTTACATTAGAAGTATGAATTCTAGATCATTTGATTGTTTTGAAATTTAATATTATTTATTTTCATAATAAACTGAAAAAAAACAAAACAAAACAAAAAAACATTTAATAGCCCGCCAAGACTTCAAATAAATAATTTATGTTAATTGTCTATATTCAAATAATTATTAAAATGATCTAATTCATTTAATAGCCCGCAAAGACTAAAAATAAAAACTAATAGTATATATATCAAGTTAAATGAACGGATTTGAGATTTATAAGTTTTTTTTTACAGTCAGACTTAAAATGGTTATAGTAGGTCAAACAAGTCTTATAATGACTCATATGCTCTTATTATATAGTGCAACTCCATCATGAATCGAACCTAGTTCAATCAATGCCCACCTTTACCTAAAACAATTTACTAGGAGAAACTTGTGTTGCCACATCTTTTTCTCACTTCATGTTCAATTGTTTGTTAGGATTGTTTGATGCAGCTTATGGTTTTGTTTTTAAAATATGTGTTGTTTTTTTTAGTGTAAGTTCTACTCATAGTTTATGAAATAGAGATAACTTCAGTAAATTGAAAGAAAATTATTATTAAATAATAGGGGAGAGATATTTTTAACTTTTATTTTTTAGTTATTAATTTCCAACTTGCTAGAAGCTGCACCAAGGAAGTCTTATCTCTCTTGCTAAAATTTTCACTCTTTCAAAGTATTTTCTCATTTTCACTGTCTTTAGTTTACAGTCGTCCAAAACAGAGTCACAGAACAGTTGATTTATTTTGGTTTCCCTTGTTTATGTTTGATTCACAGATTTCTAAATTGGAGAAATTGGTAACTAGAATGAGCTTCACAGAACTCACCAATGCTACTGATAATTTTAGCGAAGACAACATCATCGGGTCAGGACAGATGGGGACTATGTACAAGGCACTTCTCCGAAATGGTTGGTCCCTTGCCATCAAAAGGTTCTACAATTCTTCACAATGCTCTAAGTCTGAGGAACACTTTGTATCCGAGATAATGACTTTGGGTAGATTGAGACACTGCAATTTAGTACCTCTAATCGGGTTTTGTTACGAAACAAATGACAAACTGTTGGTTTACAAATACATGTCAAATGGGAACCTCTATGATTGGTTACATCCTCCAGAAGGTGATGAGCCCAAGATCATGAATTGGCCTGTGAGGGTTAAAATTGCAGTTGGGCTAGCAAGAGGCTTGGCATGGCTTCACCGCCACAGCACCAAATTCCAAGTATTCCATCACAACATAAGCTCAAAATGTATATTACTAGATCAAAATTTTGAACCCAAGATATCTAATTTCGGGGGAGCAAAGTTCATTAATGCAAATGAGAGTGCTTCGGGTTGGAGTTTTTCCATGAACGGTGAATTGTTGGAGTTGGGTTTTGACAAGAGCGATGTATATAGCTTTGGAGTTGTGCTTCTTGAGCTGATTACAGGGAAAGAACGTAGTAAGGTGACCGATGATTCTGCAAGTTGTGATAATACTTTGATTGGGCTAGGATTTGATGATGAGATCTTTCAGTTACTTAGTATTGCATGTAAATGTGTTCAGCCATTTGCAGAGCAGAGGCCAACAATGCTTCAGGTTTACCAAACAATGAGAGCCATTGGGGAGAGGCATGGACTTGTAGATGATTCTGGGACGTGGAAGCAAACAGAAATTGCTACTGCTAGCGAGAGAAATGTTGAAATAACAGAGTTAATCTAAGTGCACAAAAAAATTTCACAGAATATTTGTGTATTGTTTTATGAAAATCTCGTTAAATAAATAGTTAAGCATGCCTAACGACTGGTACACATTATTAAGTATATCATTTAGATGTGATTATGTTTCATCCAGTTTAATTATGTCATATCCATACATTATATTGACGACTCGGTACACAAATGGTTTTCAAATTATGTGATTTATTACAATGTCGTCAATTTTGTCTCTAAACTACAAAATGTGAGTTTAAATAGTCGTAGCATCTTTCCAAGAGTGTAAGTTTAATTTTTAAAAGTAATATTATAATCTAATGAATTCGAAGTTGAATCTACAAGAATTGATGTATTTGAAGCAATATCCAAGTAATCGAATAAAATAAATAATATGATTGTGATTATTGATTGAATTTAGGAGTTTAATTTTAAAGAAAATAAATTAAATTATGATTTCAAGAGATGGGGGTTACAGGATGAAAAGAGAAAGGAAGAGAATGGAGTCCGTGGGGAGGAGGATGGACTGGGGATTGGTCGGTAGTGAAATGATTTGCAAAGATCCAATTTTGTCACACTAAAGTTTATTTAAATGGATGGTTTTTATATATTTATTTTTTTTAAAAAAAATTCATTTGATATGTGTTGACATTTGAAATATTTTAAAAGATAAAAATCTTTCCACTGATTTGATATTAGCTTTCCCATTAATTTATGGGCAACAATTTTTGTTTGTTTTACAATTGGAAATCGGCTTTATTCCCATTGTTTGTTTATGAGACAAGAATTGAGTTTGACAAAATGTATCACTGAAGCAACGCAAATGTCACAAGAAAGTTTCGAGGAAAACAATTCCAAAGCCGGCATGGCATTGGCATTGGCATTGGCAATGGCACTACTCTCTCTGTATTCTAGAAGGCAACAACAAACCAGTTTTGCTATGGCATCCAAGTGGAGCACCCAAGACTTCTTCTACTCAACAACCACACTCCTCTAAATCCGGCAATTTCTTGGACTATCTCTCATGTCTTTTTCTCAATTCTCATCATCAATTACAGTGATTCCCTTCTCTCTCATCTCCTTGTCAGACCAGTACTCTGGGTTTCTCTCTTCTCATCAATCCCTCAAAATATTCTCCCCTTTTTCCATTTAATTGCTTTTTCACAAACCCATCAAGTTCTCTCAACATCATTTTCTTATTATATTGATCTTAGTTTTTCATATATAATTATGTAACTATCTGACACAGGAAAACCCATTTGTAGATTCCATTGAATTGTTTTTGGACTTGTAATTCTTGTTTACTTCCATTGTTTAATTGAAGTTTGTGATATTATATATATATATATAGATATCTTGTTTTCTGAGGAAACTGAGAGAAATTTGAAGATTACGTGTTCGGGATATTGTCTAGCTGATTAGTAGGTTCTTCAAAGATTAAAAAAGAAAAAAGAAAGGAACATTAGTGTATATATTTAAAGATTATTAATAAACATTTTCAGTTTTATTTCGTAAAAATGTGGTTTGTTTTAACTCAAAACGAAATGTTTTTGGTGGGTTTAGTGATTTTGACCTTTCTTGCACGTTCTGGCCATTGTTTCCGTGGGAATGCTATGTCATGCAATGTATCTTTGACGGAATCATGTCCTGCTTTGCTATACTATGTTCCTAAAATTCCGAGAACCCTTGAAGAGACAACTTCCTTATTTCATGTTAATTCTAGTTCAGTGAATAGAACTGTCGATGGTTTTTCCATTGCAGTAGATTGCAGTTGCCCTGCGGGTCACAGTGAGTTCACTTGGCACACAGACTATATGGTCCAACATGGGGATACATGGGAGAGCATTTTGGAAAAGTTTGCATCATTTGTGGTGGAGAAGCCTGATAAAACTTTGATTGAATCACAAACTATATCTTTAGATCTTGTATGTGGCTGTTCTAAGGGTGTGGAGGTAGTAAGCTACAGAGTTGAAAGTGGGGATACACTTTTTACAATTTGTTCTCGTTTTAATACAGTGGTAAATAAGACTGCAGAGTTGAATAAGTTGGACAACCCAAGGCTTATTTATGCTGGAGATGTAATTTTCATCCCCGAATCAGGTGTGAGAAACTGTCAATTATTTTGTTTATTATGCCATCTTATTAGGTTTATAATTTGTTTATCGTACGCATCTTTATTTTCTTCCATTGGTTTGCTCTGGCTTGTTTCTGGATCAGAGTTCAAAATTGCATCTGAGCATAACACCTAAGGCAAGGCACTCCTCGGGCAGATCCCTTGCCTAAGAAATATGCACTGTATGCGCTAATGAAACAAGATATTCTTATTAGTCCGAAACTTTAGATTTTTCATTTTTTATTTTTAAATAATATAGACTTGATTGCAAAGTGAGGTTTTGTTGCATCATATTGAAAAATACTTCGCTTGTTCTAGATTTCATGTTTGGAATGGTTTGGTGACATTGCAAATGACTTTTCTGGTTTCATCACATTTTTCTCGTTGAAGATATGTGAATTCTATGTTACCTTGTTTATTTTCAAAATTTGCAACTCAGTGGCTGATCATATCTTTTTCCCTTTGGACATTTATGAACAGGAGGCCTAAAAAACCTTATCTTGGTTGATGATAATGGTAAGAAACAAAGTTTCTTCTTCATCATCATCTTCTTATATCCTATCTTCCTCTTCCTCCTTTATTTCTATTGTTTTGTTCCTTATTTGATTTATAAAATAGATATGCAGATATTGCTCTCTTTAACTGTGAGACTCCCTTAAGTTCTTCCCAAGTTTTATAATTTAGTTATGAAAAATAATGCATTTGCTTACATCTTTGCCATTGCTCATGTTTGACAATGTTCCATTCAATTTTATCGTCTTGATGAAGAATGAGATTATTAGTATGAAAGTTGCACAGTCAAAATCAAATTTCCCCCTATGTAGGAGCATTATAAATATAGTTTCCTTTTGTTTCCCAACCTGCAGGTCTTAAGGTCAAAAGCAAATTTAAATATCCAATCGATGTCATTGTTGGAGTTTTTCTGGCTGTTGTCACTGTTGTGCCATTTTTGGTCTTTATTATTTTCTGGAGATATCACTATAAGCGGAAGGGACTTCGACAATCAAAAGGGTCTACAAGGGAATTAAAATTCTCACCTTGCAATTTTAATTCATTAAATTCCCCTACAAGTAAATATATCTCTGCTGGGAAATTCTGTAACTGTAGTTGATTTACATTCAGTACTTACTGTAGGACTGACTAATTAATTCTAGGGAGATTCTTTTGCAGAATGTGGAGAAACCATTGTAGCCTCTTTTAATTCTGATAAAGCAACTGTTTTCCCGTACAATGAAGTTTGTGATGCGACTTTAAACTTAAGTATGTCTTTAAAGATTGGTCAAGGATCATATGGATCTGTTTACCTGGGAAAATTAAGAGGAGATGTAAGTGCGAGGGACTATATATACTTACTTTCACTGTTGAACCTTTGAAATTTGTATAGGAATATTCTATTAACAGCTTGTTCCCCCATGAATTTAGGATGTGGCCATCAAACAGATGAATAACACAAAGTCTAAGGAGTTCATGTCAGAGCTCAATATTCTTTGCAGAGTTCATCATACAAACTTGGTAAAATTATCATATTTCGGTGGGACAATGGAAAATTTGGATTCACTTTGCTCATTTTTGCTCTTTAAGGGTTTACTTTTCGGCTAATTTTATTTTTTTTTGGTTTTTCTTTCTCTTGGGTTTTCCAAATAGATCAAGCTTATTGGATATGCTGCCGGCGGAGACTCCTTGTTTCTTGTATATGAATTAGCCCAAAATGGTGCATTAAGCGATCATCTTCACAATCCCACTGTAAGAGGTTTGAACTCATGACTAGTCAATGATATTTACTTCGATGCTCTTGCAAATAAATTACAAACATCTTAGAAGTCTTGTATGTGCAGAGTCAGTCATTTTTGTATCAGCTATTTGGCTCAGGCTGCTTTTGTCGACAGAAAAGTTCACGGAAATACAGCTCCAGAGAACTACTCCTACTTTAGTTTTGTGCAGAAGAGTGTAATACCTGTTGAAACTAAGTTTAACATCGCAAAGTGTAACCCTTACTGATTGATCTCCCAAATTTGCCTACATTTACTTTTTTCAGTGGACATTGGTTCCAAATACAGATTAAGATTTTAACGCATCATTATCTCATGGTTGAAATATATTATTTCTAACCAGCTGCATCAATTCAGTATTGCTCTCCACATCATATTGTTTAGTCAGAACATTTAATAGTTCTAAAATATTTTAGCAAAACAAATATTTTGGTATCAGACACGAAGTTCTATATCGAGTAAGACCACTAAAAGAATCTGGTGATAGTTCTAGTAGTGTTTGCTAGCAATTTAAGTTATTTCATCAGATGTACTATCATTTGGAATGAATCAAATGTATTGACAAATAAAGTACTTTTAACTTTGTATGGTTATCGGTTCAAAGATAAAAATAAATAGATAAAATAAGAAGTGAGCTCTGTCATATTTCAGTTTGCTTATTGGCTGGAAATTGTTTTTTGGACACATTTTGTTCAGATTAATGATTCTAGTATAAATAATTGTCAAGTTAAGACATACAATGGGACAGACCCCTCTTCTAAACAAGTATCCTCTGCTAAAATTGTTTCATATTTGAATTTCTGGGTTTCACCTGTTTCAATTAGTCTTGCTCACAACTCTTTGCCTATGGAAATTGTAGAAAATGCTGATGCACCCACTTGGTAATTCTAAGAATGAATTTTTGTGGTTGAAAGAAATCTGCTGTTCAAAGTGATTAAAGTTTTTTAAAAATATATATGTATTTCTCCATCTTCCACTGGGCCTGCTTTTAGTTAAAAAATGATGTTGATGACTAGTCCTTCAATGCTGAGACTTAATAAATCAACAGGTTTTAAACCTCTTCCTTGGACCATGAGAGTTCAGATTGCTCTAGATGCTGCAAAAGGTCTTGAGTATATACATCTTTATACCAAGCCATACTACATCCATCGAGATGTGAAGTCGAGCAACATTCTTTTAGATTCTGCTTTTCATGCAAAGGTGTGTTTATTGACATCGGTTTTAAAGTTTCTTTCTTATCATTCTTCATTCTTTAAGTTAATTAGTAAGTCATGCTGGACAGCAAGGGAGGGGGAATTACGCTTAGAGGTTATTATTTTTTGGAATTTTTTAGAAGTTCTTTTGTAACTGTGGGAAGGTAAAAGAAAAGTTACTTGAGATTTATTGATTAACATTTATACAGGAACTTTTTTGCAAGTTATTCTGCTATCTTGTAGTACTCTTTGTATGAATTCTTAGGACTCCAAAACCCACACACATTGGTACTTCTAACTAGTCCTACTATGGGATGAAGTGTCTTGTGGATCAAGTATTGATGTTGACTTGGTATCAATGGGCTCTAACATGTGTTTATTCCAGTAATCAAACTTGGTACTGAAATGTTTGATGTGATATACAAGAAACAAATGCTCAGAAGATCCATAATATATCACAAAAAATTTGAAAAACAAACACTAACAGCATAAAACAAGTGAAACAATTTGGGCATATGATATGGTCCTACCTCGGCGGTCATGGTACATAAAAGCTTTAGTAAAATGCATTCTTAGCGATTACATAAACTTGAGATGACCCTTTTCCTTCAGTAGTTATCACTAAGTTTAGTTGTTAGAAAAATCTCATTCTTTGTTATTTATGTTTAATTTCTTTCCGGCAGATTGCAGATTTTGGACTGGTTAAACTACTAGAGCATGCACCAGATGCTGATACTGCAGCATCTAGAATTGTTGGAACATTTGGTTATCTTGCTCCTGAGTGCGTTATCTTCTTCATTTCTTTAGTCAAGATGATGCTTTGTTGATATCCAATTGTAGAAAATTATTAATTTTGTTGATCTAATGTAAGTATTTATATGACTATATTATATTCAATGCTAGATTTTTATGATGATGTCATTCTTGAAAACCAGATATGTTCGAGACGGGCGTATTACCACTAAGAGCGATGTTTATTCTTTTGGAGTTGTTCTTATGGAACTACTGACTGGCCAACCAGCACTTAGCAGAGATGCAAGTCCCGGAAACATTCAATACGTAGAACACCGTTCTCTGGTGGAATATGTAAGTGTTAAATAGATTTTATTTTATGCTGGAAGAACAAATGCATTATAAAATTCTTGGTTTCTGCATGTATGAATTATAACTAGAAACTAACAAATAAAAATTGGGATAATGGTAGCAAGTATTGTGAAAGTAATTTGATAAATAAAACTCAATTACTGGTGAGAATAGAGAATGGTAAGGCCTCAAACTGATGCTGGTAAAATGTCATAATTACTTTTCAATCCATCTCAAGAGATGAAACTGTTGTCATCATTTTCTGATGAGACTTAATTAGGGCCTCTGGTGGAAAGCTATTTGACAAAAAGTAAGAGTGACGAGACTTCACTATATATCTTTCCCTTCATATTTTTAATCTACATATATGTTTTTTTTTCACCCCTAGAAAATTAGCTGTCAATATATATTTCATCTGACATGTAGCCTAAAACCTTCCCATTCCCTTTCTTGGCATTTTTGTTATTTCAGTTTTGTGACAAACTTAGGTTGTGTTTGGATTATAGATTTAGGTGGAAATTTAGAAAGGGAAAGGAAAAGGTTAGGGAAATGTGAATTAAATATAAGCTCAATTTTTTCTCCATTTCCCTTGCCTTTTCCTTTCCGTTTCCAAAACCATGATTCAAACACAGCCTTAACATACTTCACCGTACTGCCTTTTTTCTCGCAAGAAATTCAATTTTCTTGAAACTCTTTTCTTTTTCCTTGTCCAAGAAGTCCCAACCTGCTTGTTCTGTGAAATCTTATTATTTTGTAGGGAGTCATCCCTTGGTTGGTGTGCATTTTCTATTTTGTGAACCAATGTGGTGCTTATGCTCTCTGTTTTTCCCCAAAATATATTGGTAGAATTTCACTTTGTTGTTCTCTATGTGTGCATGTGCTAGTGTTCATTGTTCAATATTTTTTGTGGTAGTAATGCTAGATATATTGTGTTTCAGATGCTATCAGTTTTGGAGAACAATGATCCCTTTACTGAGCTGAGTCAATGCATTGATCCAACTCTCACCCACTACCACAAAGACTCGCTTCTGCAGGTGAGCTCCGTTCGTGTTTTGACTTTGTATCTCAGTTGAACTTTACCTTTACAAAAGATAATATTTTCAAGGACCACTGGTATGGAATATGCATGGTTGAAAACTTGAGTTGGAAGTATTACCGATTTCCTAAAGGTAACTGTGGCCTGCTGGCATTGCTGACCTGCCAAAATCCAATCATGATTTTGAGCCAATAAGTTACAGACCAAAGCATCACTTCTTGGCTTCATATTACATTCTTGCCCAGTGCTATTAGTGGTCCTGGCACTGGCTGCCTGATTTTGGCTTGGATCTGTGTCTAAGGCTGTTAATAACAAGATCCTGCTTTTTAGTATTTGAGGACACTCTTAACTTCTTCATGTTCTTTGTTAATCCTAATGTATTCTAATTTTTTCTTGTTTGTTATCGTTTGATTTTTTATTTTATTTTTTTTAAAAAGATGGCGCTCTTGTCGAAGGACTGTGTAGATGATGATTGGAATCGACGTCCAGACATGTGCGAAGTAGTGCTCCGCCTCTCTCACACCGTTTTGTGCTCAAAACAGTGGGAGAAAACAGACTGCAATTCCTCAAAATGCTGACATTTTTCTTTTCTTTCTGTTTTTTCGTTCAAAACCGCTACATTTTAATTTGATGCGGTTCCCTTAGCCATTTTTTCATCTCTATTGCAATGTTTCGTGATGAAAGGTACTGATTTTGTCGAATGGAAAGTAATTGTTCATGCTTCTAAACTCTTTTTTTTGGGGGGAGGAGGTTTGGTAGATTTTCTTGGAATGACATTTTTTCATAGGTCAATTGAGGTTGTTCAACCAATAGGTCACTTAGTTCCTTGTTTAAAACTTACTTAAAAAATCTCAAAAAATTTGTTATTGCTGAATGTTTTAAGTTTTCAAAAACCTAATAGGATAATATTTTGTTTTGATATTTATTCTAAGGTCTAAAAAAATTTTACGCTACTATCTACTTTTTCATATAGCTCAATTTTTTATTTCGTATTCAGGGTTTTGCCCTTGCCCACTGCCAAACAAACCCCTACTTAAAAAAAGTAATAATAATTGTGTGACATCTCAACCAAATAAGCAAAAACACAAGTATAAGCTTATAATATGTGATATCTCATGCTTAAATAGTAGTTCATTTCACTCTCTAGTCTCCCCACCTTATATTTTAAGCTTAACAAGGAAGCTGTCATCCATACTTCCCAGATGAAATTTTTTAAAACTAATAAACTCGAAGTGTTGTTATTTTCCATTAATATAATTTAGTCATTGTTAAAAGTGTTGCAAAAACCTTCATTATTAAAATTGTTAACTAACGACTTGGATTGTCTATAAAAGATTAAGCAATTGCGTCACCAATTTCTGTGTCAAAATTCATTAATGCACATATTTTACAATATTAAGAAATGTTACCTTTTAAGTATTTTCATGCTCCATTCTCTTCTCTAGTTATGCTACAATATAGAAAATTTTAACAGAATAAGACATGAATGTGAGATAAAAAAAGATGAATCTAGGCCGTGAATTTCAAAAAATGTGAGAATTCACCTTCTGTCTCATATTTATGTTTTATTTTGTAAAAAAATTTATGCACGTAGTTTTACTACCGTTTCTATTGTCCGTAGTGAATGCAATTAAAATTTTTATCTTCCTAGTAAAGTTTAAAATTTTCATAATTCTTGGAAGTTTAGTTGATTCAAGAAGTCTAATTAAAGTATGAAAGATCGTGATATGATTTTTCTTGAGGATATTAAAAAGTGATTCTCCTATCTCCGCAAATGAACTAGTTGTACTTGAAAAATTGAAGCACGTAATTATTAATTTCAAAATATTATGTAATAAGTTTAAAAATAATGATATAAGAAAAAAAATTATGCAATAATGTTGTATCTACACAAAATTCTTTTTCACAAATCTCCCACAATGACATGACATGGTTGATTGGAAGGTTTTGAAAGAAGAAAAGAATGTAGAGAGTAAAATTATTAATTTATCTTTTTTGGGGGGAAATTTGTGTGATTGAAGTATTTTTTAAAAAATTATTACAAAACGCGAACTCATTATCTCTTTTTTTTTTAAATGATTTTTTTATTTTGTAAAAAATTTAAAAATTATTTAAAAAGTTTATTTCCAAACTAACCGTTAGTATGAATTATAATTTTTTATTTATTAAAAATATAACGAAAATAATATCAAATAAAGTAAATTTGAAGAAGGATAGAGAGGTTTTTGGGTTGACATGTGGGGGAAGGCACGTAAAAGACGCGTAGGAAAGTCTCACATAACACGCGTACGTCACATTGTTTGGATCGTCAACAACAATTGTATACTCATGTGATTGATGCTACCATTGTTATCATATGCATTGTCTCTCTCTTTCTCTCTCTCTCTCTCTCCATTTTAGATGCTCTGCGTTTTACTTCTTGTACCTCCGGATATTCTGGACGGACATTAAACTCATTTTAATTCCCTTAGGCCATGTTTAATTCTACAAGATTAATAATGAGGTATTAATAATTCAATTAAATTAGTGTGGTATTCATAATTTTACCCCTATCCCATTACTAATAATTTTATAAATTTGTTGGATTAATTATCCATTAGATTGATAATCCTAAAATAAAATGTCAAAACAAACATAGGATAATTGGGCCCGCAGATTAATAATCTCAATCTCATACTCTAATCCTTCCAATCAAACATGCCATTAAGGTTTTTGGGCAAATTACAAACACTCCCTCGAGGTTTGGTGAAAATACGGATTCCCTCCTGATGTTTGAGAAATTACAAATTGCTCCCTGAAGGTCAAATTTACATAACAAATTAAAGGGGAATCTGTATGAAAATAAAAACCTCAGGGGACAATTTGTTATGGAAATATAAACCTTAGGGGACGGGATGTAATTTCTCAAACCTCAGGAGGGAATCTGTATTTTCACCAAACCCTCGAGGGGGTGTTTGTAATTTGCCCTAAGTTTTTTTTATAAAAAAAAATTAGAAAAAAATATATTAAATTTTATAATTTTAATATAAATATTTAGGGGAATTTTTTTTAAGGTCCCTGTTATTAAGATTTTACAGCATAAAGGACACTCAATATTTTCATAATATCTGAGGTCCCTCATGTTGATCCACAGAGAAAATTGGTCCAGAGAAAATTCACGTCACAGAGAAATTTCCCACTGTAAATTTCTCTGCCCTCCCCTTCTCTAAATTTCTCTGTCTTCCATATACTTCCCACTCTCCCAGAGAAATTGCTCTGTCTTTTCACAAAATTACATCTCCAGAGAAATTTGTAATTAATTCTCTAATTCATAAATGTAGCATTATTGTTGGTTCTGGTTCTGTAAAAGAAGCTTTGAGAGCATCTCTCACAATTGTGTGAAATTTCACTGAGAAACTTGTAGCTTGAGAAATTCTCACAACTACTTTTAAATTTTTCTGATTTGAGAAAGGATGGGAAAATAAACAATCATGAGTAAACTTATCTCCAGGGAAATTCTGAATTTATCTCCAGAAAAATTTTAAATTTCTTTGAAACTAATATTGATGTTTTATGACAAGATACAAAGACTGAATGCTTGTATGATGATGGAAAGAATCAAGTAAAACAAGAACAAAGCATTGCAAATTCGTCCATATTCAGGAGCTTCGTGGATTTGCAAATCCAACAAAACACGGTTCCGAAAGACTTTCTGGGTGGGGGAAGCTGCAGAACAAATTCAAGCAATATCATCATAATTTATTGAATTCATTCATTCATTTATTTATTGTTTTAAAGGTGGGGTATTGTGGGGAAACTCACCTTATCAAGGATAATCTCATTCTCCTCCTGTAGCATATCAAGCTTCAAAACTTGATATTAATCAGTGTGTTTGATATGAATTTTTTGGATTAAATTTTTTAAAAATTGAATTTTTTGATTTTTGTATTTTTTGTTTTTAGTGAATATTTTTTAAATTTTAAACATTTTTTTTATTTTTTTAGATGCACCTTAGTTAGATGAATCTAAAAAGTAAAAAATTTGTGAAAAAATATTTTAATAAATACATAAAAATATAAAAAATATACTAAATTCTTGTATTTTTTATTTTTTTTTGGTATTTAGTGAATTTTTAAAAGATTTTTTTTATAATTTTTTTACTTTTTAGGTGTATTTATGTTAAGTGTGTCTAAAAAGTAAAAAAATTGCTTAAAATATTTTAAAAAATTAGTAAAAATAAAAAAAAAATTGCTTAATATTTTTTTAATTTTTAAAAATATTTTTTTTACATAGTATTATTAAACAGACTACAGATGAATAAAGATCAACTATGCCCATAAATGGCTTCCACTACTATTTCAGAGGTTCGATGCCGCGCATGTCGACACAATCTCTAGAAGTTTCAGCGATTTCTCGATCACCGACGCAACATTGGACTGAAGCTGCGATCGGGACACCAAGGAATCAAAAAATGAGGGCTCTTGCAAAGAATGCAGAAGGTTCTTGGGTCGGCAACAAGAGTAGCGGTGAAGAAGAGACGGCTTCTTCGAATGTGTCAATGACTTTTCACAGTGAAAATGGCGGCCATGGTGGAGCTTTCGAACTTTGATCTTTTTGGACTTGATGTTGGAATATCTAGTCAGGTGATGCATGGAGCTGTAGCAGAGTACAAATTCCATGCATTTCAATCCAGCTCCACCGCCATTGAAGCTATATATATATATATATATATTTGTGTATGTATTCTAGAGAGAGAGAGAGAAAAGTGGGAAGTTGAGGTTTGATTTCAGTCAAATTTCTCTGTGATATATGGGTGTGGGAGTTGAGGGACCTTAGACATCATAAAATAATATTGTGGATCTTTTCCATTACTAAAAATGGGAGAAGGACCTTAGACTAATTTTTTCAAATATTTATTGACTCATTTAAAAATTTAATTCGGATAATAGTATTTTTTTTCATTATTAATTATATAAGTAAAAAATAATATTATCATTTGTCTTAAATTGAAATAGATGTTATACTTTATTTGTTCTATACTATAGTTTTTTTTATGAATTAAAAGAAAAATATGTAACCCTCAATTAATGGACAATTTTGATTATGACATATGAATAAAATTGTAAGTAATTTTCGTTCAAAATAATTTGATTAATTTAGTAAATAAAATTGAAAGTATAATACATTAACTTGTACTTTTACCATGTTATTATTAGGAGAATGTTAAAAAACAGTCTCTAAGACCATCTCAAATTTAAATTTATTGAAAAAGATATTTCATGTGTTTCACTAAATTAGTATCAAATGAAGAGAGTCGTACTTTTCATCAAATTAAGAGAGCGTTTAATTTTTCATCAAATCTTATAAGTGACTGTTGGTGAATGACTGGTCAACTGGGTGGACGACATGATTGGAATATTTGATGAAAATTTATACTAAATTGGGTAATTAGTCAAATTTGATGAAACAATTAGAGCACTTTCTATTAAATTAAATTTTTACTCAAATTTAATGAAAATTTTAAATAAGCAATGACAATACTCTCAAAAAATTTGTTAATGCTAGAAAATATAGATATTTAAAATTATTAAATAATGTATTAAAATTATAGATATTTTTATATTATAGGAGTGAAGGCAGTCATTAGCAAAATTATATTTAGTAAAAGTCAATACTTTTATTTAAGTGAATGACCCATTATTTTAAATTATTAGGTTTGGTAAATTAGGTTAGGTAAGATGGTTAGTAAAGAAATTGTAAATGTAAGAATTATTATTGGGAGAATTAAGTAAAAGTGTATTTGTTAGGATGATAATGTGAGAAATGATTAAAAATAGATTGTTAAATTATTTTTATATAAAATAAAAAAAAATATTTCTATTAAAAAAAAACTAAAACAAATATGTGCACTTAGTAAAAAAACAAAAATAAAAAATAAAACTTTCATATAAAATATAGATTCAATTCGCTCATTATTTTTTTAATCCTACTCAAAATCTAACCAAACTAATTACCCTACTTGGAGGAGAGTAATAATCTCCTAAGACCCCATTTGTTTTGGGTTATGAGAGGGGGATTGAGATTAGGATAGTTGTGGGTCCTATTTAATGTGTTGTTTGTTTACAGAGTTGAGGAAGGGACTGCCAAGCCGAAGGGCTTAGGATAGGCCTTGCAGATGAGATTCGGATGGGCCTCCAGGACATGGTATTAGAAAAATAATCCGGCGGACTAGAAATTTTTTATTTTTATTTATTTTTTATTTTATTTTTTACATGTCAGACATTTTTTTTTAACATTAATATTTAATTTTTTGTTAAGTAAAAATCATTATTTTATTTTTTTCTAAAATTTTTTTATTTTATTTTTATTTTTTAAAATTTTTTACACGTTGGGCATTTTTTTTTAAATATTAATATTTAATGTTTTTATATTTTTTATTTATTTTATTATTTTATATTTATTTTATATAAAAATAATTTAACAATTCATATACTAACAACTATCATCAAAATAAACATAATTTTACTTAATCCCCTCACTATTAATGTTCTCACTATCAATCCCTTCCATCCTCCGAAAACAAACGATACCTAGGAGAGTAAGGCCAAGTTTGGCTACAAAGAAAAAAGTGCACTTATTTCATCTTTTTATCTTTTTTAGGTCACATCAATCAACATCTCCTCTCTACTTTTTCTACACATAATACAAAAAAAAATCAAAAAGTACACTTATTTAGTCTTTCCAAACTAGGCCTAATAATCCCCTAAACCCGTCCAACTATTACTCCCACCAAACAAATTATGGGCAGGACCCAAACCACTCCAATCCCCTCCCCTGTCACCGATAAACAAATATGGCCTGGAGTTTTGTTTACACATATTTTTTGGATCAATAAAAAGTTGCATTGGGTAAGGTGTTTTGAGGAGTGCGTTTTCTTATAATTTACGTTTATTTTTGGTGAGTTTTTTTAAAAAATTTCAACTCAGACGAATTAAAAAATTATAATTTTTTTTAAAAAAATTTTAAAAACTTTAGAAAAGATAAAAATAAGTAATATTTTTTTTATTTTCTTCTTTAGTATTTTTTTTAAAATATATATACTTTTTAGATTCATTTCTATAAAACAGACTGAAAAAAAAAAAAAAAAAATTTTGACATAATTTAAAATACTAAAAACTGAAAAAAATTTAAAAAATAGATGACTTTTTTTTCTCCTAAAATGGGCCAGTGTATCAACAATTATCATTTTTTAATCTCTTCTGTTTTGGTTAAAGAAATATATTTTTCTATTTTTAAAAATATAATTTTACTTTAATTAGATCTGAAACGCCAATGGGTCCCACATAAATACTTTACCATTCCTCCCTATTTTCTCCCCTTCTCTGTCTCTCTCTCTGTTCACTCAGGACTCCTCTTCTCTCGCTGCTTATCCTGCACCCCCTCCCTGCTTATCCTACGCACCGTCCCCTTCCATTAGCGAAAGAACTCAGTCCTCTGTGTTTACACCCAGGACAATGGGCAAAGGGGGAGCACTATCAGACGGTGTGATCAAGAAGATCCTCGTCTCCTACACCTACGTAGCAATCTGGATCTTCCTCAGCTTCACGGTGATCGTCTACAACAAGTACATCCTCGACCGCAAGCTCTACAACTGGCCGTACCCGATCTCTCTCACCATGATCCACATGGGCTTCTGCTCAACCCTAGCCTTCATCATCATCCGCATCTTCAAGCTCGTCGAACCAGTCTCCATGTCCAGAGACCTCTATCTCTCCTCCGTCGTCCCCATCGGAGCTCTCTACTCTCTCTCCCTCTGGCTCTCCAACTCCGCCTACATCTACCTCTCCGTCTCCTTCATCCAGATGCTCAAAGCCCTAATGCCCGTCGCCGTCTACTCCATCGGCATTGTCTTCAAAAAGGACTCCTTCAAGTCCGAAACCATGGTCAACATGATCTCGATCTCAATCGGCGTCGCGATCGCCGCCTATGGCGAAGCGAAGTTTGATTCGTGGGGCGTTTTTCTTCAACTCGGTGCCGTAGCGTTCGAGGCTACTCGATTGGTTCTGATACAGATCTTGCTCACCTCCAAAGGAATCACGTTGAATCCGATCACCTCTCTCTACTATGTAGCACCTTGTTGCTTTGTTTTCCTCTCTGTTCCGTGGTTCTTCGTTGAATTTCCCGTGTTGAAAGATACTTGGAGTTTTCATTTCGATTTCGCCATCTTCGGGACCAATTCGTTCTGCGCTTTCGCCCTGAATCTCGCGGTGTTCTTGCTCGTTGGGAAGACGTCTGCATTGACGATGAATGTGGCTGGGGTTGTGAAGGATTGGCTGTTGATTGCGTTTTCGTGGTCGGTGATTAAGGATACAGTGACTCCGGTGAATTTGATTGGCTATGGATTGGCGTTTTTAGGGGTTGCGTATTACAATCACTCGAAATTGCAGGCTTTGAAGGCGAAGGAAGCGCAGAAGAAAGCTCAGCAGGCTGATGAGGAGGCCGGAAGGTTGTTGGAGGAGAGAGAAGGAGGGGATGCATTGGGGAAGAAGAGCGATGCGGAGGCGTAATTCGGTATTAACTAATTTAGGAGGGACTTATGAAAAAAATATATAGGAGGAAGAGGGTATGAAAATAAATACATAGAAAGGAAAAAGAACGCAGAGAGAGGAGAGGAAAGGAAAGACAGTATTTGGTATGTGGGTTGGCATTATCCAGTATCTAATATCTCTGTGTTCTTGCTGATATATTATTATTAGGGGCTTCGATTCGAGGTTCGTAGCTGTTATAAGGCCTATTTATGTAATTTTAGTAGAGTTAGGATCTCGGATACCAGATACCAATTTTCGATTGTGTTTTCTTTCTTCTTTTTGAGTACTCTGAATGAATGTTTATTTTATTCATATATCCATATGTCCGCATATCAGAATCTGGATTGTTTTTATGATAGATTGATCACATTTGGGATATGGATTTCACTATGGGCACATAATATAATGATGGCTCTTTCTTTTTTGGGTTAAATTTTTTAGAATTGTAGCTTGTAACTAATTGAAAATGTTTACGGGCTTGAAATTGTGATAGAATTAAATAGAATAGGGAAAAAAGACAAAAAAATTGCCAATTAGGGATTTTTCAATGATTAAAAAAAATGCATCATAATTTTAATTATAAATCTTTAGAAAAAGGAGATTCATAAGTATAAATTTATATTGTTATTGTGTTGATGGATGTAATTTGTGCTTAGGAATGGCAACGGGGCCGGGGACTACTCCCCCGTTCCCGATCCCCGAAATTTATATGCGTCCCGTCCCCGATCCCTGACGGGGACCCAAAGCCCGGCCCCATCCCCGCCCCCGATCGGGGATCGGGGATCCCCGACCCCGAAAATGGGGATCGGGGATTCCCGACCCCGAAAATCCTCGGTGGCGTTTTTTTTTTTTTTTTTAATGTAAAAATCTGTAAATAGATTAAAAAACATCCTGAAACATCCAATTTTACAAAACATCCTGAAAATTCATTTTCATCCTGAAACAATGGATTAAAAATTTGTAAATTGATTACAAAAATTTGTAAATTGATTACAAATCTGAAGCAACATCTGTAAATTGATTAAAAATCTGAAACAACATTTTGTTGCCAACATACAAAACATTCTGAGGCAACAAAAAAATTTGTAAAAATCTGTAAATGTAAACATCCTGAAGCAAAATACAAAACATCAATAAACATCCATTTAAATCCTGTAGCAACATCCTGAAAATTCAGCATCCATTACATCCTGTAGCAACATTATGAAAATTCAACATCCATTACAACATGAAAATTCAGCAGTCCAACAAAACAACACAAACAAAACATCATGTAGCAACAAAATAACACAAACCAAACATCTGTCCAGCAACCCACACACACAAGAAAATTCAACAAGTACCAAAGAGAATAATTAATCCCAAGCACAACCCGCAAGGAATAGGTTACCCAAAAATTAAAATTAAAAATAAAAAATATATATCCATTACAACATAAAAAAGCAAATCCATCATCTCCTTCAACTTGAACTCCTGTTAAATAACAAAAGGAAAAAAACAAATAATTAATACTAATAATAAAATGTAAAAAATGTTAACAATTAAAACAAAAAAGATGACAACTAACACAAAAGTGGCACATGACTGATCCGACTCGATCTCATCATCATCATATATAGTTGCATAGCCCACCGATTCCAATGTTGAATTCCCTAAAAAGTAAAGAATATAAATTCAATAGTGAAATTATTCCATGGTAATATAAATAATAAAAAGTGAAATAATAATATGTAAACTGGATGAAATAATACCTTTCATCTCTTCACCCCACAACCAACTTTGTGCACACATTAATGCTTCTAATGTGTTTGGATGAAGTCTACTACGATGTGGACTCACCAACCTTCCACTAGTACTAAATGCTGACTCAGAAGCAACAGTGGATACAGGAATAGCTAAAATGTCCCTAGCTATTGCCTGTAAGGTCGGATACTTTGGTCCACTAGCTTTCCACCAATTCAAAACATCAAAACCCGAAGTTCTCGGCAAAACATCATCTTCTAAATAATGGTCCAACTCTGATCTTACATTCTTCATTTTTTTACTTCTCTTTCTACTAATAAACAAATCAAATTCAGAAAGGGTCTCTGTAACAATTTCTGGATGAGCAGAAGAGTCACCAACAACAACATCAGTCTCCATACCAACTCGGTGCTGATACTCTTGCAACAAATCATAACAAATATGACGAACCCTATCAACTTCATCTTCAGCTTTGTCTCCATAAAGTTTTTCAAAATAAAACTCCAATACACTCATCTTATACCTAGGATCAAGTACAACTGCAACCCCAATAACACCATGTATCACTAACCAATATTTATCAAATTTTTCCACCATTTTTGATGCCATTGTTCTGATCACTTCAATTTCACAAGAGAGCCATTGAGACAGTGTCATCCTAATCTCACATAAAGCTTCAGGCACCACTATTACAAACTAATAACATTGATATGAAATCACCTAAAGTTGACGTACAGGCAAAAAAACACTGCTGATACTGCTTTTAGAAACAATGTATAAAACCTAAAAGGCTAAACTCACTAAAATACGCAAATACATCCAAATTGTGAACCCACAGTAGAAATAGTAGATAACAAAATGAAAACATGAAACTAACAAAGACGGGCAAAACGGCACGACAATCGCCCACAAACTTACAACAACCCAAATATCTATTGCACATTGACTACCACGGCTTCCCTAAAGCCCTTTTTCACACTCAAGCAAAGTATCACAAAGAACTTCTTTTGTGTGTGGACATGGAACATAAATAAACCTAAAATATGATGTTCATAAACAAGTATTAATATGCAAATTGAACTGAATAAGATAGAATTTTTAAATGATTTGCAAATTAACAAAAATATACCTCAAAATGCGACTTTGCAATGTCCATGAATCATCAATAAAGTGTGCGGTGACAGCCATGAATCCTTTCTTTTGATTGCTAGCAGTCCACATATCAGTTGTGATTGCCACCCTACTTTTATTATGCTCCACCAAACTCAATGTCTTCACCCTCTCATAATCATAAATCTTTAAAATATCACTCTTTATCGTATTTCGAGAAGGCACTTTAAACAATGGTTGAAGTGCTGCTGAATATCGTTTAAAACCAACATGGTCTACGATAGAGAGGGGATATTCATGCAAGATTATGGCATGTGACAACTCTTTCCTAGCAAAATCTTGATCAAAGATATAAGAATTCATTTTTGGAATCTCTCTATTAAAGTTGTTAGTTAACACTTTTTGCCTCATGTCCATCACTTTCTTCCTAGTACAACTCTTATGGTGATCATGCAAATGCCTTGTTCCATTTTTTGAATCACCTCCTAGATGCTTATTACAATAATTACATATTGCCTTCCACACCCCATTGACTTGTTGTTTTTTAAAATGTTCCCACACAACACTTGATTTTCTTTTAGTTCCTCCACAAGTAGTATTAGACTCTTCTAAATCAATAACATGTTGATTAGAGAGGGGAGACGGTGAGTTCATAGGTGCGTTCGTAGGTGGCGATGAATGTTGTGACGCGTCACTCTCAAATGGTACTTGAGAGTTAACGGGTGCTTCAGAGTTAACATCTGACATTTTTAACCTTTATAAAAATAATATGGATTGAATTAATATAAATAAATTAAGTACTCATCATCTTTTAAACAAATTATGACATGATTGAAACAATTAGAAACAGTAGTCTCGTTAAACAAATTAAGTACTCATCATCTTTCTCTTACAAAGAGTAGTGTGATTAGTGGATACATTTTAGGATACATTTTTCTTCCACATGCATATTTTTAAATATTCTTGATGAAGTATAGGGACTGTTTCTTCAATAAACAAACACAAATAAAGGGAGGTTTAATCTTTCATCAAATGTAAATTACTGTTGTTGGACTGAATGTCCAAATTAGACTGCTGCCTATGTAGTTCTCATATATTCATCATTAACCTAAAGAAGAATTCCACAGCAGTCAGGTTAGTAGCTGATGAAACACGGAGACACAATAATTCCACATTCAATAGTCAAATCATCAGCAACATGTACTGTACACTTAAAAATCTACAAACATATCTAACAAAGCTAAATTAAGAAACGTGTCCCCACACACTCACAAGCATGCACAAGTGAACACAAACACACACAAGAAGATAGAGGGGGAGGGGGAAAGAGAGAGACTGACATTATGACAGCACTAAATCAGTTATGGCAAGCAAGAAACAACTACAGACTTACATAATTAAGCTGGCAGCGAAAGTTTTAAGGATGTTTCTATCCAAGCAAACAAGGGGTTATAAATTATAAATAATGGAACAAAGGTGTAATAAAGGAGCTGTCCACATTTTCTCAATAAGCACAAAATGTCAACTGTGTGATGTAATCCAAACCAAAACTTGAAACTACATCATAAATACTTGATGTGGCACAACACCTAAACAGAGATCAACTCATGGAAATTAGACTGCTGCCTAAAGTACTAAAATAATTTGTTCCTAAACAAGGTGTCAATGTTGAAGATGCTCTAAGGGGTAGAAAAGTAATCTTCTAAACAGGGTGTCAATGTTGAAGATGCTGTCGAAAAAGGTAGAAAAGTAATCTTCAATGATGATGCACTACAAATAAATAGCTTTGTTGACAGCAATTAGGGTTAGGCTCAAAGAATGAATAAGGCTCCTAGCAGAGAGATTGGGACGTTTTTGAGGGTGGTTGCCCCTCTCTACAACACAAAAGATGATCAGATCAAGGATCATCTGAGCCGATGATTTCACCTCCCACATCAACAGCCCTCTCCCTCTCTCTCTCTCTATCTCTCTCACACACACACACACACATTCACTCTCTTTTTCTCTGTGTGTTTGTGTTTACGAGTCGAAGATTGATCTTCTCCATCTTCTTCTCACAGGAAATTCTATTTACACCCAAACAACTTCCCCGAAAGAAATGAAAATAAAAATTAAAAAAATGTTTAGGCAGTCCTTACGATAGGGTTAGAGGCTGTTGATTACAGCACAAAATATTTACAGATCTAAACTCAAATATATAAAATATTTACAGATCTATACACTCAGATCTAAATACTAAACACTCAGATATATATATATATACATATATGTAAACCCTAGAAAGAGAGAGAGAGAGAGAGAGAGAGAGAGAGAGAGAGAGATACCGAAACAGAGAGAGCCGGAGGAGCGGCGGTAAGGGACGATCGGAGGATCGCCGGTGAGGAGGGAGGCTCGGCGGTAACAGATGAAAGAGAGAGGGAGAGACCAGTGGCGAGCGAGAGGGAGAGACCAGTGGTGAGCGAGAGAGAGAGAGAGAGAGAGGAGCGCCGTGGGTGAGTGAGAGGCTCGGTTGTGATGGAGGATCGCCGGTGAGGAGGGAGAGACCAGTGGCGAGCTGCGAGAGAGGAAGAGGAGCGCCGTGTGTGAAAGGGAGTTTGGTGTCTGAAAGTGAACCCTAATCAAACACAAGCATATATGACATATATATGCAAGGACAAAAAGGTAATTTCATCTCGGGGAATAAGCGGGGCGGGGCCAGGGCCGGGGAGCGGGGCTGGGGCCGGGTATGAAACATCTATCCCCGTCCCCGGCCCCGGCCCGGATATCATCAGGAATGAAATTTTGAATACCGTCCCCGGTCCGTAGGGGATATTTTTCGGTGAATAACCATTAAATTCGGGGACGGAAGGTCGGGTCACCGTCGGGCCGGTTTCAGATTGCCATCTCTATTTGTGCTTGTTTGGTTGATTGATGGATGTAATTTTTCTCCAAATGTCTTATAAGTGTTGAGATCTAAAGAAATATTAAAAAAAATAAGCATAATAATGTACATTTAAATCTATGTTGACCGTGTGTTAAGAACCACTAGGTTTCCTTTTTTTTCTTTTTTCTTTTTGCTTTTTTTCTGAGACTCTGTGGTCATATGAACGCTGGTTTTAAAAATATTTTTTTCTTATTTTACTGCCGAAACTGGAAGCGTGGAATCCACTTGTTGAGTAGGGTTCTCGGGTTCTATGTTCAATACAGGTACAGTAGCTTGATAAAAGTGTGCCAACTTGTTAGGTTTTGATGAAGAACAGTAGCTTTTATACTAGCTGAATGTTGGCTTTATCCCATATTAATACTTGATGGCTTGTTGAGATGTATGGCCATCAGATGTGGCAATAGGGAAGTCATTCAATAATTTCAGAATACTAGATGGTTATATTCCAAGTCAACCATCAATTACTTAGTCTCGTGTTATTCTTTCATTCTCAACGTAAATCGTGAGTCTTTATCTCTTTCTACCAATCAAAACTTTATAAAACACCACATGTTTATATTTCAAGAATATTAAATAATTAGCCGTGCAAATAGGTCTCTCCACTAGTCATTGCTCTTTTAGGCATATTTGAGTTGCTTGAGAGTCATCCTCTCATCTAACATGCCACACTCCTTATGATGTCCCAAATAGAACTTTTGTTTTTTTTCAATTATTATTCAGTGATGGATTTTGAATGATGAATTGGACTTTCCATTGTTTGAAAAGGAAAGGAGAGGGGAAATTGGGTGGGGTTGCTATCCTTAAATAGCTGACAACTTCTTTTTGGTTGACCCATTTGTGCCTTCCATCCTATGAAAGGATGACAATTTGAAGTCGACCCGACGGGGATCCGATCCCCCGACTCTGAATGGAACGGTTTTTCACTGAAAAATATTCCAATGGGTCAAGGATGGTGTTCCAAAATAAATTTCCGATCATTTTCTGACGGGGATAGTGATACCTTCCCCAGCCCCAAACCCATCCCGAACCCGGACCCGAACCCGTTTACCCCGATATGAAATTACCGTTGTAACCCTTCCTATATATATGTTTCCCTATTCTTTTGACTCAATTTAGGCCCTCTTTCTCTAAAACCCTCTCCTCCCTCCAATCTCTCTCCGATCTCCATCATTGCCTCACGTCGATCTCCCTCCCTCCGATCTTCATCACTGCCTTAAAGCCGATCTCCCTTTCTCTGATCTCCATCACTGCCTCTTGTCTCTCTCTCTCTTTCTCTCTCCATCACCGCCAATCGTCGTCGTCCCTCCATCATTAGAGTTTTGTCGCTTCTGTCGCCTCACCAACGCTGGTGTGAGACCTTCGTCCATCTAAGCTCAGATCTGTTGTTGATGAAGATGAAGAAAATGATGATCTGTTGAATGTGTTAAATTTTTTATTTTTTACATTTGATAAATATATATGCTCAGATCTATTAATGATGTTGTTGTTGTTGATAAATATATATGCTCAGATCTGTTGAATATTTATGTTGTTTTTTTATTTCAAGGGCATTACATTCTTAATTATTTAAAATTAAGAAAATCAAGAAATTAGTATGAGATATTGAAACTCTCACTAGCATATGAACCCCGTGTGATGCACGTGCTAAATAAATAATTTTAAAATCAAATAATAACATAAAATTTATTTAAAAAGTATAGAAAAATAATTTCAATTTAATTAAATTTTAAACATTTTATTTATATATATATATATATATATATATTGTGGTTATTCATAGAATTACGTTCGATAACATTAAATAGCTATAAAACTTTAGTTCTCACATTTGTCTTGCATTTGTTACAATTGAAGTGGGTGGTAAATATATGTTGGAAGACAAGGGGGAAATGAATGAACTATGGGGGCCTATGTTAAATTACTTTTGAAGTAGTGGAATTAGAATTCTAGAAATTAATGTTGTGTTTGGTTGAAGGATTTGAGGAGGGATTCGGAAAGAGAAATGGAAAAGGAAAGTGAAATTTGAATAAAACATACCTATATTTCACCTAGTTTCACACACTTTTTCTCTTTTCACCTAGTTTCACACACCTTTTCTCTTTTTCTTTCCAAATCTCTTCCCAAATCTCTCAACGAAACACAAGATTGTAGCAATTTTCCTATATATTGGTACTACTAACATTTAACTTGTTAGGTTGGAATGAATTATATATGTATTGGTCGAATAAGTTATTAACATTTAACTCGTAATGATGGAACTTCCAGAATCAAGGTCTGCCTAATAACCTCCAATTTATAAAAATTCCCTCCTCAAAAATCACAAATCAATCTCGTTATAGAGTTATAAATTTACAAATTATTTTTCAGAAAAAATAAATAAATAAAAATCTAGCCCTGGCTTAAAAAAAACAAAAAAACAAAAACAAAACATGTGTTTGAGAGTATTTCCAGTACCTGACTATTATTGCATTCCTATCCCTGCTCAGATCAAACCTCTAAAAAACGAGCAAGTTGTACCAAAACCACAACAGCAATTGTCAAATAATAAAGGTTAGATCTCATAGAGCTCAAATCTCATTCTCAACCATTGACCAATATGAGCACAAACCTTTGTTGCCTCAAATTGCACGTTCCATATGTTTCTTGGATTTTATAGTTTTTCGCTCCCATCGAGTAGGTTCAATAACTTGTCCCAGTGAAGATCAAATAATCTTTGATGAATGAAACTCCATCAGCAGCCAACTCTAGTTCCCAATCAGTGATCATGAATCTATTTTCAAGTAATCACCAGAAATCTTTGCATGAGCATATCCCATTACTGAAATGGTGAAACCGATTTCTGTCCCTGACAACTATTTCACGATTATAGATCTTCGAAATGAACTTAGTAGCAGAATGACAATCTGCACAAACTCGCAAATTCTTCACAATCCGAATAGGAGTTCCAGGTGGCGTCTTCAAAAGTGCGAATGCAATAGCCAGTTTTTCACTGTGCCTATTCAAAGCATCTTCTTTATCTTCCTCATCAATATCCAGTAACACCTCTGATGTAGTAGGAAGATATCCAGCCCTTTTCATCTCCCTCCCCATCTCATCCACCATCTGATAAATCTCTTTGTACTGATTATGCGTCTTATCTCCCGCCACAAATTCATAGATTTCGTTATCTAGCTCAATCATAGTGCTCCCGGGGATCTTTCTCATTCCCTTCTTCTCCATCACCTCTCTAATCACAGTTTTCTTTTCCCAGTGAAACATTTTTGCATAAATATTTGAAAGTAATACATAATTCGATTCATGCATAGGCTCATTTCTGATCAGCTGTTTGGTGATGCTTTCACCAAGTTTGAGCTCTCCATGGACACGACAAGCAATAATCAGGGCTCGCCAAATGATTGGGTTCGGTTCAATGGGCATTTTCTGAACAAATTCTAGAGCCTCTTTGATGAGTCCAGCCCTGCTTAATAGATCCACCATACAGCCATAGTGCTCTATCTTAGGTATAATTCCAAAATCTTTTGTCATTGAATTAAAATAGTACCAACCTTCTTCGACTAACCCGGAATGACTACAAGCAGAGAGCAACCCAATAAAGGCGACATCGTCTGGGGCTGTCCCGGTCTCTCTCATCTCCTCAAACAAAGTGACAGCTTCCGAACCACGACCGTGCATTGCCATACCAACAATCACAGAAGTCCAAGAAACAATGGTCCTCTCACTCGTGTCCCTGAACAAATTCAATGCTTTATCTACATCGCCGCACTTTGCAAACATGTTTATGAGCGCATTACAAAGCTCCAAACTTTTATGAACTTTTGCTTTGTCAATGTAAGACTCGAGCCATTTCCCAAGCTCCAATGCACCTAAGTCAGTGCAAGCAGACAGAACCGAAACCATAGTAATCTCATCAGGGCGAACCCCAGAAATCTGCATTTCCCTAAACAATCCAACCGCATTGATCGACATGCCCAACCGAGCATACCCACCAATCATGGCACTCCAAGACACAGAATCTGGTTTGGGCATTTCATCGAACAATGTCCGAGCAAACTCAAGCCCTCCTCCACAACAACAATACATATGAACCATAGTGTTTTGAACATGAAGATCAGTATCAAAACCGATTTTCAACACTGAGCCATGAACCTGTTTGCCTAAATTCAAGCTTCCAAGACCCGCACAGGCCTTGAGGACAAATGGGTAAGTGAATTTATTGGGCAAAACTCCAGATTGCAACATGAATTTGTAATAACAAAAAGCACTGTGCTTGGATTGACTACTAGTTTGAGCATAGGCTCTAATGACAGTGTTGAAAAGGAACGCATCGTAGAGAGAAGTATTGGCATCATCGGAGGCGAATAAAAGGCTCGAGGCGTAGTGAATGGAGTTGAGATCGGAGGATGTGGACGTGAATTTGGTGAGGACTAGTGGGTTGTTGTGGAGACCCAGTTTGAGGATGTGAGTGTGAAGTTGGGTGAGTTTGGGAATAGAATCGCAGGATTGGAGGAGAGCTAAGCAGGTTTGCTCTGCTGCTCTTTTGTTCACGGCGGTGGAGTGGGGGTGATGGAGAGAGGTGTTTATAGTACGGAGGAACTTGGATTTCGAGGACGAAAACTGCATTTACTTTGATGTTTCTTTGTGTTGGGTCTCAGAGAGAGAGAGAGAGAGAGACTTTATGAGAAATTTCTCTGTTTCTCTCTGTTTGGTTTGGTGCAAAAGAAAATGATAGAAACTACAATCTCTTCCTCCTTTGTTTTTGTAGTTTTCCAAGTCAGACTAATTACCATGGGAACAAGTCTTTGGGTTTGATCGTCCTGGCTGTTGGATAACTGCTTCAAGCCTTCAATCGTTTGTTGACTGTTGTAGTGAATTTATGATGTCAATTTGCTGAGGCTTGTGAATCTGTACTTTGTCCCCATTTTGAAACTTTAGCCAATTGTAGTTGTATTTCATATCTCTATATTTTCTAGTCAAATGCATTTTTAATTTCAATAGATCCTTTTTAGTTTTTATGGTCTATGCTCTACGTTATGATAGTTCATACCAGTTATCCGCTTGTCATGTCTTTTTGGGCTAATTTAGATATATGGGATAAAATTGATTATTTGAGTCAAACAAAATAAAATATCATATTTAAATTATAATTATTTTATTTTTTCTTTCATAAACGTCAAAATATATTTAAAACGAGACTTTTTGACTCAAAACTAAAATAGTTAAAAAGTCAACTCACATCTCAAACGAAGTCTAAGTTGACAAAATGCGAGTATATATTTATGAAACGTCCCTGTTTCTCTCAGTTTAGAATGAAGGGAAAGTAAAGGAAAGAAGGGAAGACTAGACATATTTGATTGTAAATTAAGTATAACGCAGTGGGTAAAATTATTAAGATCATAACTTAGGTGATAGAACCTGAAGCGAAAAACCTTATGGGTAAATCACGTGCTTTAAAAATACGAACAGGGAACACTCAGCAGTGGAGTGATACCACAATATGAGTATTACCCACACAAGTCACAGTGCAAAAAGCTTGATCGTTATTTTAATGGGAAAGAGTTAGTCAGTTTAGGAAAAACATTCGTTAGTTGATTCATTCTATATCCCATATATCGTATCAGATATATAGGCTAAGTATATCATCTATCCATATCAATTGATATGATAGATATAGATATCATGAGTGGGTTATCCAAATAGGTTTTGAATTCAAATTCAAACTTACATGGATAAGGTTCAAAAAGGTCATGGGTCATGCCACATGGGTGCCCAATTTCTAACATCACCCACTCGTACATGAGTTAGCATGACACTGCCACATCTCTATCTCAATCTCTCCAAAAAATGAACAATTTCATATTAGCCAATTCACCGTGTGACCGCTAAGAACACCTGCATGTGGGAACTCTATACTAGAAACTAAAAAATAAGCCAGCATAAAGACATCAACTCAAAAATAAAAATAATGCCTCATATACCCCAGACCCATCTAATTACACTGGTCCAAAAAACATCTCTAATCCCTTAAAAGAGCATGTTTGACCCTCTCAATTCTTGCAATATATTCACACTCAATCCGTCTCTCATACAGAGCGATGTGAGTTGCCGATAGTGAATATACAACAGTGGTGTAATACTAGATGATCTTCACTTTGCCCTCATGCCATTTAGTTTAGGATTGACCTATTTCCCAGTGATGTCCCTTGAGGCCGAATCATACATGACCACAGGCAACATACCAAAGTAGCAAACACATCAACCCCTTATCTTATGACATAATCAAAAGTCACAAAAGGGTACATAAATGAAAGTCATATCAATAATGACACGTAAGACTCACACGGTGAGGAAACAAGGATCGATTCTCTCACCTCATTACTCGGTCGCCAAGCATATATGGTATGAATACATGTTACGGTGGAATAACTCTTCCAAAAGAGTAACATCATACTCGATACACCATACAAATCTTAGTCTAACCGTTTTCTAGCGCCTAACCCGAATTCTCTATTTGCTCGTCTTCCAAGCGCTAAATGAGATCTCGCATCTGGCTAATCATAACAGGCACAATATGGAAAGTGGATACTAACATCCATGTTTGGTCCTTAACACAACCTTATCTTGGTTGTAACCAAGGTGACATACATAGTGGATAATTTAAGCCTCTCTTGACTCCAAATAAAAATAAACCACTAGTCTCATCCTTGCTCGCTCCCCAACACTAAGGGCGATTGCTCGTGTGAGTAAGCCAATCTTGCCTGATGACATCATCATCTATCAATCATTATGACACAAACCATAATAGTGTCAACAAATAAATTATCGATTTTAAAAAAACACGACCACAGTCTGCGCAATTCTAGATTCCAAGCATAAGCCTTATCAGCACCACTTACGATAAGCATATACAACGGAATCCACCATTTGCGCCTCACATGAAGTGGGTTAAGATCACTACCTCTTGCGCAATTACCTCTCTAAAGATTTTTTGGTGACCAATCTGTGTTCATTCAATATGCGCCCAACTAGCGCATTGAATCTTACAAAGAGCAAATTAATATACAACTAGTAAAGCATTCTATCCACAGTCTAATGAGCAAGATCAATATCTAAACAACTCAGTTGACCATTTACCAAAGATAACACTTATCATGCTGAATATGCCTACATAGCGTACTTCAGGTTCCCACAAAAAAAAAAAAATAAAATAAAAAATCAAGGAATATAGGTCATCTGTTTCTCCCAAAGACAATCTGAGGATTCACTCAATAGCTAAGGCTCTGGCTTTTACCGATAAGTAAGTTAATGGGTTTGAAATTTTGCATCTAGAATCATTCTAGGATATTCCTTATGTAAGTCATCAAAGACAAACTGGAAATTCTCCCAAAACAATCTCTAAGGATCGTACATCCAAGCATATAAATTACATCACCCATGTCCATCATATCTAAAACAGAGGACCGCCCACCCTAGGTGGCGACAACCTTATAAATTCCTGGCTCATAATGATTAAGTAAGGAAAAACTTCTTTTAGACCAATGATCATGCCTCAGTGGTTTTCATCAATCATCGTTGGCTTATCATGGCTCGATGAAATCTAAGAACCACGATTTGGATAACTATTTTAGGTTGTAAAAGATTTATTGAAACTAGTAACCTTTTTGCTCTCCTAACTTTTCACCATAAAAGCAGAAGGTAAATCCCTACGGATCTACTTATCCAATTCTCCAACGAGAAGTTGGGTCATAACGTCCACAAATCAATGTTCCGAACTTATGTCAATCATAGCCTAAGTCGAAATAACCTCACTCCCCAGGAGGAAGTTTTTCCATGATCTACATTTTTCTCAATGGTGTGACTTTTTGGTATCTAGCGAGCCTTATGCCTCAACAATGACTATTCAAATTGCACATAACTTTAGAACAGTTTCGCGTCATAATGGAAAGTCAACCAAATTATAGAAATGGTTAATCCTCAAAGACTTTGTCTTAAACTGTGCAACGTTGATCCACTTTTTAAAAACAGGGAACTAGAGCCTTTGGCATTATCCTAGGCTCTTTATTATCTTGCGGAGCAATCATGAATGTTTCCCTCTCAATCACCTAGTGATGACATGGAAAATTGTCACATTCGCTACCACGCAACAAAGAATGTAGAGTATTCTTCTTTAATGGAGTAATCCACTAGTAGGCACATCGCTCCCACTATCCTTAGGATATTGAAAATTTCTCTCCATTCTCAACTAGGCTACATAAAGCGCTATGCTTAGAATTCTCTATCTTATAGAGTTCCAAAACTCTATCCACGTCACCTTTACTAAGAAAACTTTATGTGACTTAGTTACACTACCACAAAGCTACTTACCTATATGCACATGACCCAGAGGGTTTACATGACAGCATACAATAATGCGCCACATGACCCTATGTGTTTACAAGACAGCATACAATAATGTACTATAGAACCCTAGGTCTTAACTTCGCAACCTTATAAGAAGTAAAATAAAGATAAGCTGCTTAACGGTTATAGATCGCCCATAGATAGCTCTCTGCTAACCCATTACTCAAATGGAGCGTAAAATCTGATATGGAGGGCACTTAGCTAGGGATATAGGCAACAAACTAGTGCAATTCCCAATTGGGAAACATTTTGTGCCATCATCCACTTAACATTAGCAATACTTAATAATTTATCTTTACTACACCATTGTGTTGTTGAGTACTAGAAATAATCAATTTTTCAAGCATCCATTTCTCTTCACAGAGCTTTTTAAAAATAACTCAAATAGATACTCACAACCTTGGTCAAAACTAAAAATACGAAAGCTGTTATCTGATTGATCTCGACCTCATATGTGCAATGTCAAAAATTATCTCAAAACTTTTGACTTATAGGAGATTAAATAGTCTTGACTCAGATGCATATCGTAATCTATAAATGTGTCGAGGTTGAGGCTTAGCTATCATACCCTTACACATATCTAGTCACAAATATCATAGTGGACTAAATGCGCCAATACAAATGCCCTTCTGCAGCTTTCTTACTTACTTATGTGCAACCATTGCGAACAAAGTTACACATTCATATGAGAGCAGGATGTCATAAGCGAGTGGGCCCGAGAGGGCCTACTCAAACCATCATTGTCATCTTCTCATTAATGTGATTAAGTATAATAAGCTACCAGTTCATGACCAATGTCATAAACTAATTCCAATCATCCTAATGTGTGAGTTCTCAAGACAAGTTTTAAAGGTTTAGGCCTAACTAGGTAATGACTCACGACTAATTCATATTCACTAGATCATAAAAGGATGTCATGGAGATATCAAGTGCGCCTAAGTCACAAATTTAACTAGTAATTGCTAATCCCCTACACCTTCAAGTCAATTTTATTCTCCATACACTTTACTGCATATAGTTGAAAGATGACGATACTCCTCTTGCCATCTCTGTTTCTGGCTTCATAGTTGCTTGCAATTAATTCTACTATCCACAAGAACGAGAGAATAAGCTATCAATCTATAACAGCTCCCAAAGTAACTTAAGCATGAATTAGACTTAACATTGTTAGGCTTTATTCTTGGCAATCCCGTTTGACAAAACTCCTTTCAGTTATATTTATTTTCGCACTTTTATTTGTTTCTCGCTTCATAGTTGCTTGCAATTAATTCTACTATCCACAAGAACGAGAGAATAAGCTATCAATCTATAACAGCTCCCAAAGTAACTTAAGCATGAATTAGACTTAACATGATGTTCTCACGAGCCATGCGTCAAATTCTTAGAGTCATAACAACATTTTCAACCTTGACCTTTTTATTACTATGATGCAACGTTTGCGCTTAGTGGTAAACGTCATTCAAAAATGTTAGCCTAGCCAAGTAATCATACAAAGAAACACCTCTTCATGTCTTACACTCAAGTGTGGAAACAGTAAGTGTCCAGACTTAGACAAGTTGGCAATGCTAATAGATTTT